CGCGGATTAATTGAAATCTAGCCCTTGCTTGTCAGTCAAACACTTGACTATTTCAAACACTTGCATTTAGTTTTAACTATTTACTAAAAATAACAAAGTCCAGTCAAGTACACTCTCCCGTTTGAACGCAGCACGCGAGTTGGTGGTAACAGCGGTATTTTATAGGTAATTTTCACGGGTGGCTTTCTCATCGCGTACGGTCGCTTCGCAGAGGATTTTCAACCTTACCTTCTTGTTACAAAGGTTCAATGTCTATTGAAGATATGTGACAAATTGGGGTACCTTGACGTGCTGTTGTCTGTTCCTCACAATAATTAGATTTCGATCCTCTCGTATTAGAAAAGTTCAAGCGATTTTTTCGGTAATAGGTATCGCTTTAGAGTCAAATATACGAGTTTGTAGGTAGGAATGAGTACCTGATACAAAATGGAAAACAGACAATTTAAGTTTTATTTATATCTACTTAATTAATATTTTATGGTGTAAACGAGCAGACGCCCATGGACACCTGGAACACCAAAGGCGTTGCAAGTGCGTTACCGGCCTTTTGGGGATTAGGAATTTAAGGATTGTTGGGGATTCAGGAATTGGGGAGATTGGGGAAGGGGAGGGTAATTGGGCCTCCGGTAACCTCACTCACCATGACAAAACACGGGTTGCCGGGGTTCCAGCTCAAAGTGCAGGAGTAGGAACGGGGTGGGTTTTTAGTCAGTAACAGTCTTACACTCCCTCTCGCCTCACACGGGCGCGATCCTCAGATTGGATGATTTTCCCCCCTAAAAAAAAACGCTGGCATGAGCTGTACTGCATACTCCTGTACTCCAAGGATACCTGTGTCTGATGGGGCGGGAGGAAACGCCCGGGTGTCATCTCTGCGAGGACCGCCCTGAGGACATGGTGGAACACACAGTGGGAGAATGCCCTGCGTGGGCTGAGCACCGCTGTGCCCTCAGGGAAGTGATCGGCGATGGCAACCTCTCGCGTCCGGGCCTAGTGCAGGCCATGATGCGGAGCGAGGGGGACTGGGATGCCGTCTCCTCCTTTTGCGAAGCAGTCATGCTAGCTAAGGAGGAGGCGGGACGCGTGAGGCAGCGAAGCCTCACGCGTCTCCTCGCAACCCAGCCATCGCGAAGGACACACCGGGCGTTGGGGATCGCGGGACAATCTCCGGCCACCGTAAGCGCGGGACTGCGGATGGCGATCATGGGTGTTTCCCCGTCCGACCAGAAACAGACCCGAGCGTACGGCGCGTCGCGTTCCGCGCGCGCCTCAAAGAGCCATCAGATCACCACGGATGGGGTACAATAGGGCCGATGCCGATTCGGAGTCGCGGAGAACCTAACGGGTAACCGGGGCTCCGACTCGACGTGCAGGAGAAGGAACGGGGTGGTTTTTAGTCAGTAAGAGTCTGACACTCCCTCCCGCCTCACCCAGGCGGGAGCAATCATTTGATGATTTTCCCCCCTTAAAAAAAAGGGGTAGGTAGTGGTGCTCATTGCGGCACTCAATGCCACTGTACAATGTAACACCTACTTTTCACTATTTACGTTATGAGTCCCATGTAATAGGGGGTGAGTCTATTGCCATATACCGGATATAATTACAGGCTCCGTGCTACTACTGAGATTTATTTTAGAACCCAGTATAACTTTTCTGGATTCGGGAATTGAACCCGAGACCCCTTGCCTGGCAGTCGCACTTACGACCACTCGGCCAACGAAGCAGTCGTTCCTGAATTAGAGGTATAATGTTCTCTATAAAATTCTAATGGTTTTATTTCATGCTATAAAATAAGGTGTAAGCAGTCACGACAGTTTTACGTTTCTGAGTTAAAATTGTTGATTATAGGCGTTTTATTTTTATTTTTTTATGGCATAAGCCGGTAATCGAGCAGACGGATCCCCTGATGGTTAGCAATCGGCGTCGCCCATGGACACCTGGAACATTAGAGGCGTTACAAGTGCGTTACCGGCCTTTTGGGAATTAGCAGTTTGAGGATCATTAGAGATTCAGGAATTGGGGAGTTATGGAAGGGGAGGGTAATTGGGCCTCCGGTAACCTCACTCATACGACGAAACACAACGCAAGCGTTGTTTCACGTCGGTTTTCTGTGAGGTCGTGGTATTACTCCGGTAGAGACGGCCCATTCGTGCCGAAGCATGGCTCTCCCACACTTAGAAACTTATTTTTTGTGTACTTTTTCGGGATAACAACTACCCAATGTTGTGTCCAGGATATTAAAGTATAAACACACCAAGTTTCATCGTAATCGATCCGGTAATTTTTGCGTGATGCGTGAACATATAGACGGACAGACAACAATTTTACTGATTACTTTTGGCATCAGTATCGATCACTAATTACCCCCTGATATTTATTTTGAAAACATATTTCATGTACAGAATTGAGTTCTCTACAGTTTTATTATACACATGTATACCTCTAGATTCTCTAAAAT